ACACATATATTTTTTTTTTTTTATGTAGAAACTGTGAAAAAAATTGCAGCCAATTTTGAGATGAGCCGGTCAAAAAGTATTCGATTTGTAAAAGAATTACCCATTTATATACTTTGCAACAAACAACGAGTAGAATCCTATGTTAATCTTATTATCTACTGTCCCACATTCTGCTGCTCACTCCCTTAAAGCTTACTACCTGTCGACTCAACCTCCCTGGTTTCTGAAGATTACTGCACAGCTGCCACACATTTACGACGATCCGGACCTTGAAGAGAACAATGATCCTATCACTCTCACAGCTTGGGATGCGATACCACCATCGTGATTCATTTTGAAGGATTGTCTTGACTCACTAGAAAGTGATTCTCATCACCCCCAACTCCCCCTCAGTGTTCGAAGCCGCCCACCCTTACAGGCCACTTTTAACAATCAAAAATAAATAATTTTAGTAAGAAGAAAAATTTGTCAGTTAATTTTTGTTTGTATTCGTCTGGTTTATAAAAGATTGGCGCATATACTCATGTATGTTAGAATATTTGTTTGCCAAATAATTTGAATGTTTTCGTTTTTTTAATTGAAGTTTTCGAAGCGACTGCCAATTTAAAGCTTAACGCTCAAGTTTATCATTAAGAAACGTATACGTGGATTCTTATCCTTTCTTTTTTATTAAAAAAAATTAATTTTTTTGTTTCGTAGCCTTGCGTATTTTCCTGTATTATTCTTTACTCTCTTCATTTTAAATTAGTCATGATGGAAGCCCAAAAATGTATTCACAGTTTTCTGAAAACAAATAATTTATTAGTTTTTATAAAATTTGTCCGTGTGATTTCACTTACTCAGAGTATTCTTGGAAAAAATCGTGTAATACAGATAACAATTTGTCATTAGTACATTTGACATCGTTATCAGGTATGTGTGATAGGATATGCATCTTTACACATATATTTGCGTTGTTCTAAATTAAGTAACTTAAGCAGCTAATTCGCAGTGGTTTTAACTTAACTTAAAAAGTTAAAAGAAAAGGAAAACAGAAATATCAAATGTAAATTAGGTAAACATTTTTTTTCTGAAAAACAGTCTGATTTGTTGAGTTTATCAATGATTGTCAAGTATTTCTCGATGTTTTTTCACTTACGGAATGTGGGTGACAAAAAAAATTAGGGTTAGTCAAAGAAACATGTTAGTAGAAGACGATAAAAAATGTTAGAAAAATCAATGCTTCGATATTAATAATATCAACCGGTTATCCAATTAATAGAATTAAAAAAACATTACATCAAATGTATTTTCCACATCAATACTTCTTCCATGTAACCAATTTATTAAAATTCCTTGTATTAGAAATATATATATTTAAAACATTTAAATTAATAATTGTTTTAGGAAATAAATGAAGAATGGATCACTGATAAAGTTCGTTTTTCTTACGATGGACTTAAAAGACAAAGGTTGATAACGCCTATGCTGAAGCTTAATGAAAAATTTCATGCTATAGATTGGGAGGAAGCTCTTATTGCCGGTATGATTATTTGCTTTTAATAAATTGTCATAGTATTTATGTTTATATTTTTCGTTATTGTATGTCATAGCATTTATTTTCAATCCTTCACTTCTTTTAACTGTCGATACTGCATAAGGTAATCAATCTTGTATCTTTCTAACGTTTACCATGAGAATTCAGTAACAAGTTTACTAAATAACTGCCCTTATTATTTATTTGTCGATGGAATTTTTCTTACAATTTGTGCTTGCAGTGGAGCTCATAGATTCAACCAATGAGATTTTTCTGCTGAAGATTTTTGTTAATTTAATTTCCTCTGCCTTACAAATGTGTTTAGTCTCAAGCTACCTAACGTTTAATTTCAAATTGCTGTTACTTAATGAATGATTTTGGTACTTTAAGAATGAAAAAGAATTCACAGCTATTAACCATGTATTTTAGTGCATGAAACATGTAACGTAGAGCTCTTACAGCACTTTATTTAACAGAGTTTTTACTTGAAATAATAATATGCTGTAATCGAGATATTTTGCGTACAACTATTAAAAAACGAAGAAGGCCGTAACATGTAACTGTAAGAATCGATTTATTTGAGAAATAAATTAATGTTACGATGTAGTAACCATACAACGCCATCACATTTTTAAAAAAACTTATGAATAAAAAATCTAAATGTCTTGGTACTATACGAGGTCTGTCTGGAAAGTATCGGGTCTACCTCTACATTTCTGTGCCCTGGTTTTTTAGTACTTTTTTCGGTCGTTATTCAAAATGCGCCTTATACTTCTTTTATCACTTTATACATACTATATAACACCTTAGTACACGTTGTATGGTAAGTAGAACTAGTTTGTTATTTTTAAGTTGACAAAATATAACTTCTGTTATATTTATTTTGAGTGAATATTTGACGTTACTTATTTGTAAGTTTAGATAGTTTAACCATTGTTATCGTTTTCTTATTTGCGTATAATTCGTGTAATATGTATGTGTGTATGGTCTTTGCTTTTTATTGTTACAGTTTACTTGAAAAAGGTTGGCCATATACAACCAGAACATTGCACACATTTCTTAGGAGTCAAGAATAAACTTTTCGACAGTATGCCATAAAACTCATTTGTTTATTATAGTATGGGATAATATTAAGTGGGTGTGACTTGTGATTGAACAGAATCGTCGTATGACTGTGCGGGAACTAGCAAAAGATCTTGGAATATCAAAAACTATAACTTGGGAAATTGTAACCTCAAATTTACAAATGACACGCGTGTGTGCGAAGTTCATATCGAAATTGCTCAGCGCAGAGCAAAAACAGCTTCACTTAGAAATCGCACAGGACAACTTAGAAATGGTTAATTATGATAATGCTTTTCTTAGAAAGGTTATTAATGGTTATAAGTCATGGGTTTATCGTTATGATCCTGAAAGGACAGCGATTTAATGACAAAACGACGCTTAATAATAATGCGACTAGAGAACTCAAGGCCATCTATAAAAGTGAATTCCAAGACTGTTTCGAGAAGTGAAAACATCGCTGGAACCATGTTGTTCAAATAAATGGGGATTACTTTGAAGGACACCGTGCACCAGATGATGAAAAATAACGCCAGCGCAGAGTTGTAGAAGTAGGTCCGATACTTTCCGGACAGACCTCGTATTTTGCTTTACACGACCCCCGTTCAATAAGTGTTGAGCTAATAAAGGTTATTCTTAGATGAACAATACTCAACATAATATACAATTTTTTTTTAGTTTTGATACGAATTGCAAGTAAATTGATAACCTGATTGTTTGCTAGTGATACAGATTTTGAACTCTTGCGTAGTGTCTAGCTCTATCAACCTATTAAAAAAAACTAACTTTCTGCTTACTACGTATGCTGATGCTCCATTCGCATACATTTTTGTTACGCTTATGTACGTATGTATAAATATCGGCTTATTTCGTCCATCATTTATACGCTTACAGCACTTATCTTACAAATAGAAGAATGTTTCTAATAACTGTGGCCAACAATGAGAATTGCTGATATAATTTTTGAGATCCATGCACGTGTTTGAAACATCAGCACTAACATTATTACCTGTCTTATTTCATTTACGTGATTTTTATGGCTTTTCTTACTCCCAAGATCGTTTTTTAATGTCTTTATCTCATATAAAAAGAATAATCTTCATGACTCGTAATGATATTAATGCTTTTTTAAATGTCTTTGCCGAAATTTTTTCTTGCAGTGGAACCTAAATAATCTAAAAATGTACTTTTACCTTTTTTATTGTTTCTCCATCGCTCATTTGGCAAAGTATTACTGCCCCAATTATTACTTTCTTGTTTATTGGTTGATTATCATGCCATCAGTTAATTTTACCAATGTTAAGAAAAGTTTTTCAACGTACATTTCCCCTTAATTTCTTATGACTTCGAAAATCTTATTTTATATCATCTATACAATTTTTTTCGCTTACTGTAATTTTAGATACTTTTTATGTTTACTTAGTTAAAAAAGTTTTTGACATGGAATTAAGAAATGGTTCAGAATCTTCATGCAGCAGTGTTTATTCAAATTACGCGCACTTTTTCACAGTAGATGTGATAGCAGCACTGTACGGCTCATGAACTACAATCGTGACTAACTTTCAATGTTGTCTCGTAGCACGCACTTTTCTGCCACGCTGGCGTATGTGATTGGTCTGTTTTTTCTATTGGCGCATTTTTATTACCTAACGTTATATGTATTCAAAGTTTCCGTTGGCAACTTGCTCTCAGCAAGCTATGCTCATGCCTGGTTATTAGCTAGCCATCAAACAGTTAACATTAAAACTTATTTCAGTGGATAAGGCACAGTGCAACCATTTATATTTTATTTTTGCCTTTGTTGCAACAGTTTTGTAATCAAGTGTTGTATTGTTCATGAAGTTTAAATTCCGTGAAACTCTTACTTAGTTCGAATTCTCTCACACAGATACGCTCTCTACAGTCACACTTACATACACGCACAGAGTGAGAGAGAGAGAGAGAGAGAGAGAGAGAGAGAAAGAGAGGTACAATCAAGTGCACACAGACAGTCTCACTATTATATCTGCTAAAGTGAATATAGATATACTCAGTGCTTATAAACTCAATAAAGTTACTTAGTGACCATTGACTTTTTATTACTATATTGTTATATTTTGTAGACTTAGTGTTATTATCCACTTTAAGTTTAGTGTATTATTGTTTCACACAAGTTTAGAGATTATTCATAATATTTCTATTTTGTTGAAAAATCAGTGTAAATATTGTTTATAAAATCAAGACCCTTGATATTGTTAATATACCAGTTGTAATTAGTGTTAAGTATCGTTACATTAATTTTCTTTTTAATTACGATAGTTTTTCATGCTCACATCCACCTGATCAGGCACCTCAGAAGTACATCAATATCAGCACTTAATAATGAAACAGAAATCTATTTTTTTTTTATTTTTTTTTTTACCGAGTTACCGTGACAGCCTACTGGTCTAGTTGCCAGGGCCACCCACTCAACACCTATGTGTGGAGGTGTATTGCCGCACCCATTTCCAACCCTTTTATTGATATCCTACCTAACCCATGGGCACAGTGCGAGTATCTCCAGTGAACCACCTTGCCAGTTAAGCTAACACTCTCTGTCCCAATGGTGCATCGGCTTTACTCGCCACTGTGTTGCCTTTCCCCGGAGAAGACTCCACATTTCAGGACATTTTTTAATTGCAGTTACGAATTTAATGAGCTGAAAAAATTCGAACGACGGTTGTGATAAAATGAGCAGTAAGAAAAAAACTGGATGAAAAAAAGCTCAAAGTAATTAGTGTGCGAGAAGTATTTCATGAGATAGAAAAAAGCCAAAAAAGGCATGAGAATATATTTATGAGAGACATTCGTACTGTAGAAGAAGGGTTAGAAAGGTGAATAAAAAAAATTATTCGGTATGTTTTGAAGGTTCAGTTAAAATTCAAACAATCCGAGTGACAGGGTAGAGAACTAGTAACTTTGCAATGAATACATAATAAAATTAAAATAATAAAAAATGTGAAAAGACTAAAGAGAATCGAAATCCAAACAAACGATGATTATACAAAAAAGTATAAGAAAATTATGGACTAGATAAATGTAGTAGCTAAAAAAGAGGGTAGGGAGGAACGAGAAACATAAGTAGGTTACTTGAAAATAAAAATGCAGGGTTTTATACACAAGAAAAATAGGACATAAAAAGGGCTGAAACACAAAAAAACTAAGGAGAATTTAGACATTTTGCAAGAAAAAAATTAAAACATACAATTTTGAACATCAAAGTAGTATGCTAAAATATCCCAAAAATTACTGACATAAATTTGATAATGTAGCACTGCAAAAAAATTGGATACAGGAAAGTAAAGAAGGGGAGTAAGTAGAACACTTGAATAATAAAAAATATGAATATATAACTGAAAAGCACTAGCAGCATTAAGAAAAAATAAAGTAAGATGATCAAAAGTAAGAAACTTTGTAGGGATCAGGAAAAACATCGTCAAAGAGGGTATAAGAAAATGGGAATATCAGGTGGTGATTTTAGGGATACACGTAGAAAAAAATACTCGACTAAACATTATAGATCATTATAAAAATATCATATCTAACGATTATATGCGGATATGAATATTATCAGAACATTATGAACATCTTATAGATCATGCGGTGATTCCCCGAAGTGTTAATGGATTCGAAGAATCGTCCGTGTCGATCTCCATACGTTGTACTTGTACAAGTACGTACGAGCAAAGTACGCTAGTCGTGCGATGTGTGGCAGATAGAGGTGCTTTTAATTGCTCACTTTTTTGAAATCATAATGTGTATTGGCTGAAGTGACAGGTAATTACGAATAAAATTTAAAACTCAATGAAAACAACATTCAAGCACAAATCACTATCAAAATTTAATTAAATATAATTTATTTTTATTTTTTTTCGCTTTACCGTGACAGTCTATTGACCTAGTCGCCAGAGCCTCCCACTCACCAC